TAACTCCGAGTTAACAGCACCTTTCAGGGACTATTAACACCTGTATAAACAAACCAAATTAAGGAAAAGGTGATATGACAGAATACCGCACCGGACGTACTTTATTGCCGAGTATGGAAACACGGCGTAACTCGTTCCACGCTAGACGCTACGCGACGAAACGCGCAGCTGAGCTGCGCGTTAACTGTGAGTTTAGTGCGCGTTTCAGGCTCGCGTGAAACTGGGAGTTAACTCCGAATTTGGTTAGAGAAAGAGAAATAGTGTGTAAACGCAGAAGTTCAGCTAAAAAGTCCTCCGCGGTACATTTTGCTCCGAGTTCATCAAGCATGATATCACGGTGCACGGTTGAACACAAAAATTTGAAATTTTATAAACTTTTGGTCCCGGGGGTTATCAGACGTGCTGATCACGAATCCGATGCTCATTTTTCGCCATTCGTCCACATAACGAGGTTGCAGTAGGAATACGGTAGTTGGGCGGAAATCACGAAATTGTCTAAAACTTGGTACAGTGGGGTTATTTGGCACGCTGATAACGACTATGATGTTCATTTTTCGCTACGGGCCACGTAACGGCTACGGTAGGGGTACGGTAGTTAAGGAAAATCACAAAATTGTCCGAAACTTGGCACAGTACGATTATTGTGGCACGCTGATCACGAATATGTTGTTCACTTGCGATTGCGGATCCATTTAGCGAGCATACGGTAGCTATATGATAACTGGGCGAAAATCACAAAATTCGCTGAAACTTGGTGTGGTGGGGTCATTTGCTATGCTGATTATGAATATGCTAATCATTTTGCATGAAAATGCAATTTATGGTTTTCATCGGCCAGCGCAGTGCCCTACTCCATCTTGAACCTCTCGGCAGCTGCGGCGCTGCGAAATGAAAGCCATAAGTAGTCTCATCCTTATTTTCCAAAAACACACGCACCCTAAATGGCGTCATAGAAATACCCTTGATGGCACAAATGGCTAATAGGCTAGTAGGCAGTAGGCTCTGCCTACTTGAATTTCATTATTATTTTCGCATGACCTTTTCAACCATGCAACTACCAGCTTTGAGAAACTAATATATAGTCCCAACCACCTTCTTCTCCAAATGTAAATGTAACAGATTTTCGCAAGAGATTTTTTTTTCCGAAACCAAACCATGAATTATGCTTTTTGCTATTTCGTGATATAGTTGTGATGAACGCAAATTTTCGTCGAATGAATGAATATCGAATAATATTCTTCACACTTTATTGAACGAATGAATAGTTGAATTTTGAGAATCTTTCAAATGAACGAATATTAGTCAATTTCCGATTTTTATATTATTCAAATTCAAATATTCGAATATGGGTACATTCCAAAATTCGAACTTTCGAATATTCGATAAACCGAACTAGATCGAGTGATTCGAATAAGCGAACAACTGAATAGCATCGAATATCGAATGCAATAAATAATCGAATACTCGCATGCAATATTCGGACATTTAATCGCCATAGTCGATTTGAATATTCGAACAAGGATTTCCGAAATTTCTCGAATATTCGTATAGTTGAATAACTTTCTTTTGAGATTCCTCGCATATTCGAGTATTTGAATAATATATTCTTCCAAGTTGTCGAATGAACGAAATATTCGATTAGAAGAACACTCATCAGCCAGCCGATAGTATTATCAAAGTGATAAAGGCATGTGGATAATTCCACGATGTGTTTCTTTTCACTTATGGTTGTTACATTTTACGCATATTCGAGTTCAAGAGCTTTTAGCTGAATTTTGATACTTAAATTATGGTTTGTCAATAAATCAGTCACCTTCGCTAGTCTCCTATCTCGGAATACAGCTGGCGATAATCAATTCTTTTATGGTTGGGATTTTCTGAGTAGTGATATCGTAAGTGGGGGTTGAGAAAAGGAAGGAAGAATACGTATAGCAGTGGCGTACCCAGATTTCCGCTCGGGGGGAGGAGGAACAAAAAAATTTTTCGAATGACTTTTCGGACGCACTCCGAAAAATTTTTTAGGATGCTTTCCAGAATTTTTTCGGCCCCCTGACCCTAAAATTCAAAAAAAGGGCGTGGCGGGAGCCGCGCCCCCGAATAAATTTTTTTGAAGGCTAATTTGAAAATTTTTTTCATATTACTTCAATTATTCACAAGTAAAAACAAGTCGCTTGCACATTTTTATAACACATTTAGATAACTTTCAAAAATTGCGCAACCCATTCTCGGCGGAAAGGGGGGGGGGGGCGCCCCGTTCAGTGTGCCACTGACATATAAGTATTTTAGTAAGTCCACAGTTCAGAGCGAAGAGGCATCATGCCTCTTGACGTGCCTGAACACGTAGGATGTAAGCAAAGAGTACATATGGCGGCAGAATGGCGATGCTGCCGAGGTGCTCCGTGGCCTAGTGGTCTAGTAGTAGGAACTTCGCGCCGAGCAAAGGAAGTTCAAGTTTCCGACTTAGTCGGAGTGTTTTGCGATAAGTCGTGTGGTAGCTCCTCAACAACTATAGCGGCTCCGCAAGTAGCAGTAGGCTTCGAGTAGTTTCAGAAACGAGACTCGGAGTTAACTTTGAGTTTCAAAACGAAACTCAGAGTTAACTCTGAGTTAATGAGCAGCCTTAAACTCGGAGTTTTGGCCAGATTACTACCGGCCCTGGTCGGAAGTGTGCGCCACACTTGACAGGACATACATGCCAATAGTACATTTCGGAAATTATTCCACGTTTTTGAAGCCCCGCCGTTACACACAAATTTAGTTTATTTTCCTACAAGAACTTATTGCTCATTGACTCGATTTTATTCACTTACAAGTCCAAAGTGTCACGTAGCGGCACTTTGGACTTGTCAATAAATCACGAAGCTGCAGTGACATGGGCATATTTTCGTTGCGAATTCAGCTGCGCACGCCGCAAGCTGCTGTGTCCTGCGACAGTAGTATGAAGGAACTCCAAAGTGTTATAACTTTCAACATTGAAAAAAATCACCAAAGTAGCTTGAACCTTCTTTTGACTACTTTTTCGCACAGCTTGCTCGTTTTGATTGCTTGAAGATCATGTTATGCTTATTCTTACTTTGGAGTTGGGCTCTCCTTGGCGGACTGGTTGAGCTATAAGCTCCGGTTTGTTTTTTGGAAATCATTTGAGATCGTGGCTAGCAAACGAAGGGGCACGGGTACCATCTCCTTAGGTTACGATTCGTTTAGATTCATATTCGTTGTGCAGTACTTGACAGTATTCTGTTTTGCAAATGTAGCAATGCTCATGAGTTTTGGGCTCTCCCCGGCAGGCCGGTGGGTGCTTACCCGTCGTCCTTTGCTTGTTTGAATATTAAGATTGTTTGCTGGCTAACGCGGGGCATGGGCTCCATCTCTGTGGATGGAACTCATTATTGACATTCGTAATATCCAGAGGCCTTCTTGCAAGCTAAATCGTTATTCTTTAGTCTACATGAAGTCTGGGCTTGAAGCATATGATGTTCTGCTGCTATTCGTGCTTTGTGTAAAACTAAAAATTACATTGTTTTTCTTGTTATGGTACGCCTCGAGCGTATTTAATGAAAATGAAAAATGAAAATGAAAGATTTTAAGCTTAGCCTAGACAGTTTGAAATGGACACTTATTATAGAAAGTGGGGGCATCATCGTTCGAAGGTCAGAAGTTGCGCCATCGCCATCAATGGGCCGCCTGATATCTGCGGTCTTCTTACTTGTTTCCCTTTGATTTTTGACCTGAGCTACTGCTCCCCCAAAGTGAACATTCTGGCCTCCTCCTTGCCCAGTCTTTAGCTTTATTGTACTGTATTGTTGTCTGATTTTGCAGTTATCTCAATAGTTGTTTGGTTTTGCCAATTTGGTTTATCTCGCTTAGTGCCCGTAGTTCTAGATTGTTTCTTCTCTTTTTCCGGTCTGTCGACTTTTGTCCCATCATTTTGGATCGGCTCTATTGATATGGAGCCAAAATGTGCAGAACTTACAGCAAATCGCTTAAGTCATATCACATCTTCTTGACTGTATGGTTTTTTGTTATGTAGTTTACAAGAAGAGCAAAATCTGTAAAAATAAGTTGGTTTGCTCTCACAATGGCTGCGAGTTCTGTAGCTTATGGCTGCCACTCCTTTCGGTCCATCAATATCATGAAAAACTGCTGATAAGGTGTTAGAATCAGAGCAGATTTTAAATAAGCTCATGCATGGGAGAAGAATTGAAACATCAAAATACGAGGAAAATGATAGAAGAAAAGAGGAAACGAAGAAGACGGCGAGCACTAAGCGTTGCATCGATTGAAGGAGATGATTACGCCCGCTAACGCGGCGCAAGGCCCGAGAGGCGGCTGCGGCAGCATTGACACTCACACTGACAATCATACCCCATGCTTACGACGTGAGTAAAGAGGTAAGACGAAAAATACTTTGGATTGAGCATTCTTTAGAATAATTTCGTAAATTGGATATGAGACACTGCATGCATAGGTGTTTTGTTTGAAAGGTGTTTTGTTTTTACCTATTACTTGCTTTCAAACAGATAGAACAATTTTTTAATTTCAGATAGAACAATTCTTATAAAAATTGTTCTATCTGAATTTAAAAAAAATCTGCAATTTATCTTAAAAGGCAGAATACGATACCGTTTTACTAAATCATTCTTGGGCTAAGCAAATGAGGGTGTGTACGTTACTCTGACTATTTCAAATTTGTACGCCATATCGCCTCAAAAAGTAGCCGTTAGAAAAAAGTGAATAACGCAACAAGCTTGCCCATTTATGATTTCCATGAGGTTGCAGGTATTTCAAAGAACCAATAAAATTTTTGAGGCAACTCCTTAGGTCATCAAAATATCAAGGACCAGAGCTTTCTTTCACACTTTTCCTCCCCTCATCGTGGATGGAGCTTAGTAAACTTCCGTTCGCATTATAAATTGTCTCGTATATTATTTTGACAATTGTCTTGGGTTGAGCTGTTCAGACTTTGCGTTGATCAGAATAAACGCATAATCTTCGAACGAATGGAGGAGGAATCTGGTATTTCATGGGTACAATTTGCCACCGTGCGGCATCCCATAAAAAGATTTCTCAGCGGATACGCGGACAAATGCCTTCGGTAATTTTGTTCACATTTTCTGAATAATAAAGCGAGCCATTTGCTGGCTTGCGGTTGAGTCATACTCATTCGGCAATATGAAATGCGTCAGAAATTCATTGCCCGCAAATTACCGTCGCACAGGTTTGGGTTGACAACGCCTTGCACTGCTGACAAAGTTCCTGCGTGAAAAAGGTGAGGGTCTGAAAATTGAGAAAAATGCGCTTTTTGCCGTCTTTGCGAAAGTAAATGTTTATATCTGTGTTACAAAAATGATATTAGGTTGGCACATGAGTAATGCTTTTTATTTAAATTCCTTCCTTTTGGAATGTGGCACATCCATTCTTTGGCAATACAGGGACTATGATGCAAGCTACAATTGCATACATTTTTTGTCGAATTTCGACTTTTTGTGTAGGGGTTGCAGTAGGTTTACGGCATAGGAAAATTTTTAGTTTGCGTTATTGTGCTGAAACTTGGTCTCAATGGTGGTTATTCGACTTTGACAAAAATCCATTCCGTATGAAAAGGCCTTTTTTGCAGGGTCAAAGTATGAGTTTTTACCTTAGCAATGAATAAATAGATGTTTGTGTTCAGCATGTTGAACCTTAATGTTCAAAGTCTCGACAAATACTGAGGTTTCGCTTAGTTATATACGGATGCCCTTCCAAATTTGACGCTTGACTTATCACATTGTCGAGGGCGTCGGATCCTGATTTGTCTTCGAATGACACTCCTTTTTTTATGAGTTTATTGCGTCAACCTCTAACAGCATGCTCTCTGTAATTCTGTTTTGATGTGTTTGATTCAGGTTGTGCACGGCTGCGCTTTCGCTAAAAAACCAGAAAATTCCAATTTTCAATAGTCTTCAGAAATGCTTAAATTTATTCTATCACGTTATTAAAAAGTAGGCGCTTTGAGCAAATGTAGCTCAAATCACGATCCATACAATGCAAAAATATGAGAGCGCTACTAATAAGAGAAAAATATGGGAGAAGTAAATCTTATTTGGCAGCTATACATGGTTCATCAATTCAGTGTCGGATGCGAAAGCACTTCCACTCCCGCGTGAGACTCTGCACTTCTTCCGCGAACATGTCTCGAATCATATCCAATCGATTGAGGCTCCGCTTTTCCCACGCTCGCGGTGGGAAAGTGATCAGAGAGCATGTTCGCGAAAGAAATGCAGAGCCCAGGCGAAGCGGGGATGCTGGTGCTCCCGACACTGCAGTTAATACCTGTATATCACCAGAGTGCTGTGTGCGCCGCATCACTTGATCTGAGAAACGGCAATGCAACGCAAAGCTAATTCACATGTCTCGCTTCTCTGTTGTTTTTCTTGCAAAAGGCCACAGTCATCTATGGTTCATTGACTGCAAATCTCTGAAACAACTTAGCATCGCGTATCGGCTGAGAAAGTGTTCTCCAGAAGTTAATCTGGAAACCTTGCGGTTGGCGTTTACGTCAACCACCATTTTCGTATGACATATCAGTGCACTATGACAGTTCAAAATTTATTGATATAATCTTGCCGATGCTTCAGTATAGAAAGTTGGTCTCCCTTCAGGCACGATTTTTTCAGACGTTCAACGACCGCGGAAAAATTAGAGAGATTTTGCTTGAAATGTAAAGATATACATTGTTTCGTCAAGGAGTTATATAACTTTTTGAACCTATTCTACGCAAAAAACTTCGTGCAGCCTTTGCCTACCTTGTTCACCGATTACGATTACGTTGCTGTACACTTTGCGCCACAAAATTGGTACGTTTTAACTTCTGACCCAAAACATGGGATAGACTTACTTTTGGTCTCCTAGGTATTGCAACTTTGACAAATACATTGATGATTACAATATACTTCGTCAAGGAGAAAATCGTGAAGGAATTATGAAATACGCGCAGGAGTTCAAAACAATACTCACGAAAGCCAACGTTCCCGATGAGTACGCAGAAGAGATACACAGGCAATTACTTAGTAAGCAGCATCGCTTAAGTTTTCCAATATGCAAAAACTACATTGCTTCCAATGGCTGTTTCAGTTTTTTTTGGAGTCTTCATATGTATCTACAAGGTACATCATTGGTTAAATGTTAGGAACAAATCTCAGTTTTTTTGTTGGGAGCTTTCTTAATTGTAGTCAATGACAATGACAATAGAGTCTACACTCTTTCTCTCTCGCCATGGCTTACTGTTGTCATAAATTCCCTCAACGTGCGCGCTCTTCTCTCGTCATACAGAAGACCTGGCGAGCCGGTTTTCTCAGAACGAAGCCCCTTGATTTCGCTGAAACTTTACGAAGTCAGCTCTGACCCTTTTGGAGAGTTGCTGAATTCTAACTGGCGTTTTTACATGTAAAGTAAAGGTGAAATTAGATCAATAAAAGCAGCAAAAAACGATCAAGATCTCTATCTCTCAAAAAATTCCCGTCCACTTTACAATATAGGGTCTCCCAAAAGTATGTATACACTGTATGATCGATGTTATCTCTTTTCTCAAGAAGTCTTTTGCTTATCTCCAGGTACTATTCTGGAGAGCTGGTTTTAACTTAGATTCACAGAATGGAGCGAATCGCCGAGCAATCTTCATTACCGCAGGAATACGGTAGAAACTTCGAGAGAGGTTGTGAGCAATTAAGGGTGCTAATCCGTAGAAAGCAGAGCAAACAACTAAAAAATTTTATACCAGGCAAATTCAAGCCCTAAAACCAGTTATGAAATTTGCGCTTTACCGCAGCGCTTCTTTCCTCAAGTTGTGAGAGGTAAACCGCAATAGTTACTTCTATGATGCTCTTCAAAATCGTGATTACACCATTTGAAAGCTTTGCAAACTCGTAAAAAGTTGAGTACTGAATTCAGCGTGAGAAACCCTGGTACGTCACTTTTCAGATTTTTTCAAAACTTTTTGAAACACGATTAATCACAATGACGCTGTAAGCTGGAAGTTTCTACCGTAATCCTACCGTAACAAAGAGCTCAGTGATTCTCTCCATAGTGTACTAAGTTGAAGCCAGCTTTACAAAATAGTACCTGAAGGCACGCAAAGGTCTTATTGGGAATAGAGAAAATAGACTTTTTTACATAAACCTCTTTTGATTAGTATTATATACAATCCAAATTTGGTGTCGTATGCACATCGAGCTGTAAACAAGCCATTTGTTTGCCAGTCTTGCATTCTGATTGCGCGCCCTTCATCAAGCAACATGGTGGAGCATCTCAGTCGCGTAGTAACTTGCTTCTGAAGCGTGCTTTTTCAATTGATTTCTTATATGTCTGCATAGCATGTTTTACGATATCTCCCTTGCTTTCCCCTCTTAGGGCCGCATGCACTAACATGGCCGCGGGAGGAGATCACAGCTTCAAAAAAAGCTTCATATTCTGAAGCTTCAAATATCTGGATTTCACGCTGTTTACCTGTTCGTAAGTATTCCTACTACTTCACTATGAACATGTTGAACAGGAGCGAGAAGCTGTACGAACCGCATTTTCCACCTTTTGTATGATTCTTGATGATCCCCGGCGCTTTCCTTTGAAGTCATTTTTCTTTCTCCGAAGTTAACGAAAACCTTCCAAAGTTGTACTGAACATCTGACACAACAGTGCTAAGCACGTTGCTGATGACGGATGAATTTTTGAAAAACTGAATTTTTCGGTAAACCTCAAATTTCGACCTGTGGGTCATCCATCATTTGTTCTTATCAGCAACATGCTTAGCACTGTTGGGTTAGATAATATGCACAATTTTGGAAGTTTTTCGTTGACTTCGGAGAAAGAAAAATGCCTTTAAAGAAAAGCGCCGGGGATCATCAGAGATCATACAAAAGCTGGAAAATGCGGTTTGTACAGCTTCTCGTTGTTGTTCAACATGTTCATAGTAAAGGATAGTAGTACTTACGGATAGGTACACAACGTGAAATCCAGTTATCTAAAGTTTCGAAATATGAAGCTTTTTTTGAGCTGCGATCCCCTCCTCGCGGCCATGTTAGTGCATGCGGCCCTTAGTCTTCTGTGTCGGGCCCTATATGCACAGCCATGATGACCAGTAAAACGTCACCATCAGTAATAGTACCTTTCCATAAAATGCAACTGCTAATCGCTCCTTACACCTATCTGGAAAAGTGCCAGCTTGAGCTTTACGTACATATATAGTAAGCCCTTTACCGTGCTCGCTTCTTCGCTTATGTTCCAAGTTGGCTTGGAAAAAGTAGTTTCGTCGAGTCATTTGTAACTTGATATGTGATTGCGCACACTGCGCACGGCAGCCCACGACACCCTTACTAGTAACTCCTCAGTAAAACTTTTTGAGCTAACAATTTGCGGAAGTATGTATTAATGACTAATGACACTTATGTAATTAAACCAAAACAGATGGATAAAAAGGAGAAATTAGTGGAAATGGGAGGTTCTGAATTTACAAGTCACCAAGTAGAGTGTTACACATAGTTATAAGTTGCTCATAGAATCGTAACAGTGTCGGCGTCCGCCAGCGTTGCTTTCGCAGTTCCCAAACGCATTTTCTTCGTTTTCGAAGCATTTTTTCTGCATGCTATGTAGTTGCTACTTGAAGTAACTGAACTGAGCACTGGATATCTTTTCGTTATATGCCCATGTAAGTTTTGAGGCGCAAAGGCCGCAAAATCCATTGCCACTTAATGTTGATGTCGTGTTTGATTTTAGAAATACCTTATACGAATAGGCAGGGACTTGTGATGGGAAGTGTCTTGTGGTAGTGTAAAGAATTTGAAGTTGATGAATGCTGCAGTTTGCATCATCCTGACGTGAACAGCTTCATTAGCTCCACTGCACTTACGAAGGAGGTCCGATTAGTCGAAGTGGTCTTTCCAAATGAGTCTATACCACTTTGAAGATAATTAAACGCTGATTCCAAATCTGTTTTCACTATCTGCCGAGCGCCTCTGCATGCCGAATTATGAATATATTCTTGGTGCGAAATTTGAACGCATAATCTAGGTAAAATCAAATTGCATGGTCTTTTCAGCGCTCTTATAGAGAAGTGTTAAGTATGAGTGTTTTAGACAGAAGGGATTGTTCAAATGAAGTGCTCTGATAATAAACATTGGACCATATGAGCAATTCTGACGAATTTTGTTCTATTTATGCATTTTATTTCTCAACTCAAAAAAGCCCATGACTCGACGTCTATAGGCGATCGGCAGATAGCGAATGCAGATTTGGAATTAGCGTTCGGTGTTCTTTATAGTCGTATCAATTTCCCGGCCGAAAAGGCCGCTTCGACTAAGCGGACCTCCCTTATAATGAATTGAGATCGGTGTGCAGTGGTCGTTGTTGCCACGTGGGTCTTTGGATTGTTGCAGTTGTGCACGTGGGAGATTACCTCGAACTTGGGTAACTAAACCTTCTTTAACAAATATAAAATTCAAATAAACGGTATTGCAAGCGAAATATAGTACCAGCATAACATGAGATTCTTATTACGGCAAAGCGTTGGTAATAAAATGCGATTGATATGTTTTGGCCTGAATGAACTGAACGCAAATAAAGGCACTATAATTGGAAGCGTATTTAAGGCACACCAAATAAGGTCGTTCCATAAGTTCGTAGCGTTTTTATTTTTGTCGTCATTTTCTGGTAAAGCGGTAGGTTTACCGCAAAATGTGCGTACCCTCCGAAAGAGCCAATTCTACTCTACAAGAACTGCGTTTTATTTTCAGAGTAAACCTGATGACCTTTGTTTTGAGACTGCTCAAAGCAGAGTTTCTTGTTTAGCAAAAAATGGCGCTTTCGGCATTTCCATCTTCGGTGCTATATACGGAAATTACGAGACAAAAATTTCCATTTGAAATTGTTATGAGTGACGAAGAATACTGTTTACCGGACTTTGATGCACGTAAAACAAGAATCCTTTTCAACGGGGACGCTACAAAGAATGATAGAGCGCACTTTTACGGTATGCGTAGATGTTTTGCGTTTGGCTGGAATGAGGAAGTTTTCTGAGCCAAAATTTTTCGGGAAAGCGTAAAATCGCTGGTCACCGGTTGCATTCAAACTTTTGCACCACCTAGACAAAGCAGTTTATCGCTCAAGGCTTGATAGCAGGACGAGAACATTCTGTTACGAAACGACGCGTAAAACTCAAGCTGCAGCAGTCGAAGACAGCAACTTTTGAGACTTCGTTCAAACAGTTCTTAGCACATTGGCTGGACACCATTGTGTCAGTACATCAACAATGCTTGCTACTTGCTACTCCGACTATACATACAGAGGAATATTTGTGGGATATGGACGAAATGCGAAAAACACAGGTGCCGAAAAGGCTATTTTCTGCCACTCAGAAAACTTTGCTTTGAAAATTATGAACCAAAGATCATTAGGTTTGCTTCAAAAACAACAAATAGGTTTTGTAGAAAAAACTTGGCTGTTTCGATTAATACCAGATAATTTGCCGTAAACCCACTGCTTCATTACAAAACGACGACGAAAATGAAAACGTTACGAACTTATGGAACGACCAATAAGATGAAGCAATGATCTAAATGACGCTGAAGTCAAGAATGAAAGGAGGAGGTCGCCAGCTGCGGCAGCACCTTGCTTTTTACTTCTTGGCGCAGCTGCAGCTACAAAGAAAGGGCTTGCTGCGCACTCAACTTTCAAAGGCAATAAACCATTCATCAAAACGGAAAATATTGGTCGAGTTTCTCAACACCTCTTGTTAGCACGTTCAATGTTTAAAAAAGCAAGATTTTGACAATCTTGAATGGCTTGAAGCAAAATTTGGGATCAGAGAAACAGACTTTAGCGACTAAACCATGTTGACAAGCGTGAACTCACTTAAACAGAAGCGAACCACGCGCGAATTATGAGTATGGGGAACTTTTTTGATAGGTCATCTCCAAATATTTCATATAGAATAAATATATGGTTGCAAAGCTAGACCATTCTTTCAGTTCAGAAAGGTTTGTGATCTTTTGACCTTCTCTGAGAAATGTTGTTTCTGAAAAAACGAATGACAGAAAATTAATTTCGCCATATTTTTTCTATGTCTTCTTGAATCATAAATATTTGAAAATTGGCGTAGTGTCCCCCCCCCCCCCAAATTTGTCTCGACTTAAGATAAGCGCGGCCAAGACCGGCTCAAATAAGTTACGTAATGGCTATGATGTGCGTAAGGTTGACCGAGACATCATACGTGGCATACATACATGGCTTACCCAGTGTACCGCACATGTGCATTGAGGTATGCATACTGGCCCAACCCATAGGTTGCCGCAAAAGTTGCACTCCCGTTCAGTATGAACTCGCAATGACCTACGCGCTCGGTAGGAAAACCAGGAAAACTTGCTCGAGGCGAATTGAAAAATTGCGAGCAAGCTTTCATAATGGTGTAAGCAGCCTTCTCCGCGCTGGCGACGCCTGTAACTTGCAACGTCAATCAAAACATTTGCTATAGTCGTCCTCCCCTATTAGACAGCTAGTGAACAAATTCGAATTTGAACTATAGCACGGCGGTCGCGGCAACGGCACCGTCAAAGTCGATTCGAGCTCATTCAACATTCTTTTCTGCTCTCTTGTCGTTACATAGTGATTATTTTTCAAAAGCGTTTTTAATTAAAATTGACGGGTTTGTTGTCGCTTGTTGTGTGTTTCATTCTATTATATCTATTATACTCGTTTCTTTGACTCTATCTTTAGATAAGGTTGGAAAAACGATGCGCATGGGGAGTTCTTGACATGAAGTTCATTGTAATACTCCAAGACATGTTACTTATCGAAAAAAAACTAGCACAGTTTTCAATCCTAATTTTTTAAGATTTAACCTGAAATCACAGTTGCAGAGACGAGCACAGCAGTACGCTTCGCTCAAAACCAACAAAATTTTCAATCTTAATCAAGAAAATTATTAGCTTTTAAAAAATGGTATCAAAAGTCGAAAAACACAAAAGGAAATCTGTTTGAAGTTAAACTAAAGGCTGAGTGTGCCCGCTTTGCCGCAACCGGCCTGCTCTAGTTCAAATCGGAATTCGTTCACTCATTAGTTGTCTAGTAGGGGGAGGACGACTATATGAAAGTGTTAGGAATGTTCTGCGAGGATAATGATAGCGCGGCTTTAATGTCGTACCTCAAACCAACTTTCCTTAGAATCTCTCTAACCAACTTTGCTTGAATGCATATTTAGTCGAGTACTAGAAATGTTACAACTTTTTTAAAAAAAATTCCAAAATTTGAGATGAATTAAGATAATAATCGTTTTTCTACTTCCAACCTCCTCCTTTAAAAAGGTAAGTCATATCTCACGCTCAGAAGAAACTTTTTCGTAGAACCTGGTGACAGTGCGAGGTTCTACTATACGTGCGCTGATCCTAATCAGTACTCATCCAGAACTACTGGCGTTACTTAAATGTACAGAAAACAGAGCTGGTTTGTCCCCCAAATACAAGTTCGAGGAGGACCCCACTGACTAGCACTTGTTAAGAGCATACTGCTAGGACCTTGATTTTCTTTGTCTGCTGTGGTCAAATTGTACATATCTGAAAGTGCTTACAAGGGAGAAACCAAACCAACCAGATCATTTCTTAATAAAGAGACTTGAACCTTACTGCGATCTACGATTTTTTTTTCTACAGAATTTGTATTTTCGAGAAGTTTGGAGAAATGTCTTATGGTTAGTCACAGCTGCAGTATTTGAGAAATGATTTCGTCAAACATAAAGTTTGCATTTAGTTGGAACATCTCCCCACACAACCAAAGGATTCAAGGCAAGATCACATCTCGAACGGACGTTGTTAACCAATAAGACTCTTCTGTCTCTTTTTACTAAAATATATTACTATGACTTTATTCTTTTCAACTTTTCATTACCTATCATCATCTGATAGGTTGATTGTTACTACCTCGAGCAACTCTTGAAAGGCACGTTTTTTCTTGAATTACTTGGTTTGTCATCACTCGTTGTCTCTTAGAATATGGAATACAAGACTTTACATGCCCTTCTTCGAAGTATCACTTTCATGATTGCTCCTTGTTCCGGTATAAAGTCGATTTATGTACAGAAAGCACTGCAACAGTAGTCCAACAGTAATTGAAAAATATTTTGATGTTATTTGTTCGTAGTAGCCGATTATTGTAATGAATTTGTGAAATATCACGTTTTGCATGAACTGTAGTAAACCTCCGTCAGCTCAGCATTAGCCTAGTGTGACCTTGCAGCACCTTAGCCTATTATCAAGCAAACCGATTGTAACAGTTATCAGTTTGTAAACATAAAAAAGAACAGTTGCATTATTCCGTAGTTCCGTCCAATGGATAAATAGTGCATTCCGAGGGACGTTATAGTTTGGGACAGCTTTGTGGCTACATTTTGCTCCGTGCCAGGAAAACTTCGGTAGCTTTCGCTATCAAAAAGTCGCGGATGACCTTATCAAGAGTTCGGCGATAAGAGAGATAGGATGTCAAAATAGACGGTGTCAAAATTATGACATTTTGACATAAATTTTGATAAATCATGGGAAGCTATCAACATGATTTTACGTTTTTGCAGATCCCTTAGGAATTGAAGCTCATTTTTGATGATAAAGAGAAAAATGTTTATTCAGAGCAGTGAGCTTACATAATAGCTGAAAAGACGCTCACAAACTCTCATACTTCCACAATTGCATTTTTTTTCTTTTTTTTTGGGCTTTCTTAAGCTTAGCTCAAACTCGACGACAGCTCTATCAGTTGAGCCGACATCCAGGTGAAGTTTGTCACTTTAACTCTTCTCTTTGCAGCGGGACAATTTATGGGGTACAGAGATGAGAGTAAATCATTAAATTTTCTGTGGTAAGCTGGTTCATCGAGATTTTGGTGGCAAAAATCCAAGCATAGCAGCACAAGATAAACGGAATTTGGAATCGTGTGAATTGGAGGAAAGCTGTATTGTGTCTGCAGTTGCTTTACAAAAACGTAATAAATTCTTAAGAGCAGGTAGCAGAACGTGCTAGCTAATATACAGTGACCGCCAAAAAGTTGCGGACAAGCCTCCTTCCTTTTTTCATCGCTCATTTTCATGGAAAACAAAGATGAAAAAAATGTTTGGATTGCATGATTTGATAGAGCTCTTCAAGAGCTACAACCATACATTGCGCTTTCTGGAAAACATGCATTTTAAAAATTTTAAAAATCTTTTTCTAAGAAGAGTCCGAAAATGTCACAATGTCGCGGACAATGATACTTCGAACGCGAAAATTTCCTTTTGGGTCCTATTTTTGAGTGGAAGCACAAGTGAACAGATAAGCATACTACATTATAGAGCTCATCGAGGACAATAATCAGGCAGTGGTTATTTTCAAAAAAAAAACTCAGACTTGAATTTTATTTTGCTTTTTTTTCACAAAATAACTTCTAATTCCCTTTTTCAAGCCAAATTTATTCACATGTAAACCTATTCAAGACATTTTAACAAAGCTGTTCGACCAAAATGGATGCTTTTTGCCATCCTGTGTGCATCGGACGTGTGTTGGTGAGTTTCTTTGCTGAAAATGGCTCCTGACAGTGCGTGCACATAACCACACCTGCACTTCACCACCGAATTGCACCGTTTTGCAGGCTTGTAGCTCGACCGGCAGTCATTCTACGAGCCTGCAAGTAGGCGTATTTGAAAGAGCGTGACTTTCTCTACACGATGGTATGCAAATGAGTTCAGTATCAGGAATAACAGCGGTTTGGCGAATGGGGTGACAGAGAGCAGCCTTAGAGGTGATTGGAGTGAAGGCTCTTATCAACGCCAAAACAGTCTTAGAGCTCCGAAATGTATCTATTACATATTAATTAACGGTTTTGAACTTCCAGAATGGAACTAGTAGCGAAAGGAGATTTGCTCAACTTTTTGCTGTAAAATTCTTACCATATCACAGAAGCTGCGCTTTGTGATATGGTGCTCAAAAGTGCGTACACAGTTTCTAATCGCCAATAACTTTCTTCCCACAAAATCTTTTGCTTAGCTTCTAGTATTATTTAGTAGAGCCTTCAGCTTAGATTTACAGTATGGAGCGGATCAACCTTCGCTCTTTTGCTCTAGTATTAATCGAGAGGGTTTTAATCCAGCAACGATTACACTTTGGTCCAGAATGAATACACAACAAGCTAAAACTTTATTATTCAGACTGAAAGGAGTTGCTGATTATTAAAATTGGCTTTTCTTCAAGGTCATTGCCAGTAAACGGCAACAACTTTTTTTTTCAATTTTTTCAAAATGTAGTCAACCGTTTGTAACGCTTAGAAAACTCACAAAAGGCGTCTACAATAATCAGAATGTCTGACGCACGTTACACAGCTTTCCAGATTTTCAATGGAAATCTATTTCAAATGACAGAATGGCATATTTTACTATAGCGCTAAGTTACTAGCGTAATCCGACGACTAGGAGCGATGGAAGAGAGTTATTAACGATTAAAAACGTATACTTGCCCCTGTATAATAATAGCAGCTATTGAATAGTTTATTTTTACAAAATAAAATATGAGTGCGTAAATAGTGTATATATGTTTTGCGTATCATGGCATCTGATGCTCTATTCACATAACCCGACAACGAAACACATAAAAACAACCATAAATACACATAAAGAAGCACATAAAAGAAATGACGACCTTTTTTGGCATGAAATCTCCGAAGACATAAATCAGATTTACGAAAACGCAGTGGTATGCGCTCGCTCTGAAATTGTGTTGAAACCTCTTGCATTGGTCTTGCTATCTTAGTTAAGCATTCAATAAAATGTTTTAAGCCTTTTTTAATTGATAATATCATATCACAACTAGGCAGCTTTTGTCAGTTCCCTAGCAATAACACTAAAACAAGCAGATTTATGGGTGTTGCAGGAATGATGAGCACAGAGTTTGACTACCCGCTTCCTTCTTATTGTCTGTTCAGACGATTACGCCGCAACAACTGTTAGGCAACATATAGGGCCCTGGCAAAACCTCGTCATCCGTACTGAGCTGAAGGGAGGGGGAGGTGCTTAATTTGATCTTACTGCGCCTTCCCAGTACAACCGTACCATCGTTCTTCAAAGATCAACATTCATCTTGGGCAGTCCGTCAAGACAAGCAACACAACCAGAAAAACAAGACTAATCGTCTCGTAGATTTCTACTTTCTCGGTCACAGTCAATTGTTTCAAGTTTTTTTCCTAATTGAGCCCTAGGATTGTGTAGTTTTTTGCACTCTTGTACGTAAAATAACACGTGCTTAAGTCCCGTGTGAATTACTCACAAGCAACCTAGGCTGAGTTCATAATGATTCCGAAGTTCCGGAACAGTTCCAGCACAGTTCTCGCACTTTGCTGAAACTCTGCCGGAACTGTGCTGCATGGCTGCAGCCGCCCGCATGCGGTTTTGCGCGGCGCGAAGTAGGAATTTTTGACTTTCTTTAACGGCTTTCATAGTAAATTTTACTTTTTTTCACCTCATTCTTGTGGCTTGTTTGTTATTGTGACTGAATGAGCGCAGTTTCATTGTGTGCATCAGCTAAAAACTGTCACAAATTGATGCCGCTTCCATTCGTACACATTTCTACAAGTACGGAGTTCCTCTCGTCAGCAGCGAAACAGTAATCAAGAACGAAAGAGCAAGTAATAAAAGTTGTGAAAAGAAATGGTGCTGAAACGCCCACGAATCCTAACCTTGAAAACACAAAGAAAAGTTTGCGATTTCCGCAATCGTTATGGTTGTATCATCCTTTCTAAAGACAGCTGAAGATATCGAGGACGCAGAGACTCTCTGAAATATAAGAGGAGCGTTTAACAGAAAAATTACAAAGGAGAAGGGGTGCGCGAAGGCAGATATATAATTTACGCAAGACATGAAAAGGTTTCATTCTGGAATCTAGCTTTGAATTCGTAATTCTCTGCTTCACAAAAGAAGCAAGATGCGAGAATGAGACAAAGATGGGCAAAGTTTACAATTAAAATTGTCTAAGAAAGTCAAAAGTTGTTATTACGCGCCGCTCGAGACCGCGTGCGGGTGGCTGCAGCGTACGCAGCACAGTTCTGACACTGTTCCAGCACAGTCGAGAACTGTGCTGGAACTGTTCCGGAATTTCGTGATCAGTACGAACCCAGCCTTACAAATTCTCAATCCCCGCTTTTGCACACTAATTTTGCAAGTACTTATGAACTAACGGCAGCGTAGTAAGCTGAGGACAACTGATTAGACAGTCTCATTAGTTGATGATGTATGGAACAGAAGACAATTGTAAGAGCTTGAGTTCGAAAAGGGCGAGTGAACTCAACTTGACTGAATTGGCGGGAACATAATACTTGAAAGTCAAAAACTTAAAACATACCCTGTGCAATCTCATTTTATCTCTTGGCCTACCTCACACGACACCAGCAAGCGCTCCTATGCGTCGGAAGAAGCTACTCCCAATTTTGCGGATTGTATTCGTTCATCTTCTTGTGTTCTGTAATGCAATACATGTTTGAAATATGCAAATGCTCTTCCTCCCTTGTATTTTGGACTGTTTATCAAATTGTAATCTCTCTTAATTTGGACTTTTATGATTTGCACTTGCTTGTGATAGCCTAACGTTCAAAAGTTTGCATCCGTGAAACCTAATAACTTTTAGACAGCCTTTTCCAAATGTTTTTTTAACGAAGCAAGGAGAAGCGAAAATTTGAAAGCTACTGAACCTTGAAGTTCAAAGAGTTGTTATGAATGTCCTAATAAGCAAAAAAACTGCTTGTCTGCCCTCTCTTCGATCTCTTCGCTTCCGGCAACGCGAATTTGCAACACAAACCCCTAGCGCTGC